ATATATATATATATATACGCAGTTTCATCGTAATAATCAACCCGCGTATGCTCGAGTAGTTTATGATTTCTGTGACTTACCATTAATTTGCATGAAAGTAACCTTTAAGTGGTTACTCCACGAGTGTAGGAAAGAGAGAGTATATTGCTAAATCAAAATGATAATCTTTTATGGCACTAGAACTAAACCTACATAGATTTTAATTAGATATGTGTAGAATGTAGATCATGTAGATAACTAGTTTATTTGGGAAACTAATTAATTAGTCTGCTTCATTTACATCTGAGACTCTCAGGGCTTATAGATTATCGAGTAGTAATAGGTATATATGGTCTATGTATTTTCATCTAAGTGGTAGTGCTTTATAACCCTAGTATTAATAATTTTGCTGAACATATGTTCTTGAGATTGTGCATGTTAAGCTTTTGTCAAAACTTAATGATACACGATTCAAAGTACAGAACTAGTATTGAATTGGGTTGGTGTACTTTCAGATACTTATGATATACGCTCATGATTAAACATGTGCACGAGGCTATATATGCATTGAGTGATATTATTAGAATGTGCGCATTATAGTGTGTCGACCCAGAACTTTAAAATACTTCATGCACACTTCATCATCGAACACCACTACTACTTGTTGCCTAATAATTACTAAAAAAGGTTTCAATCCTCAGAGAAAACGAAGCAACACATATATAACCTACATCATAATATCCATGCATGCCCTTAGATCTGACCTATAGCTAGGAGAAAAATTAAGATCTATGTAAATACAATGATTAGGTGCTCACCCCACTCGTTTATCATTTGCACTTAACTGATGATACCTTACTCAGTTTTAGCATGCCCTTTATCAACCCCATTGAAACATTTATAAACCAGTTGATTTTATTTTTTTCCGCTAGCATTTTCCATGGTAAGCAACCCTCTTTTTATTTTTATTTTTTAATGTTTTAAGATTGAAATAAGATTGATTTCTTTATATTTGTATTCCTGAAGTTTACGACATACTTCCATACCAATATTCTTTCCTTCAGGTAGAGACACACCGTCGGTAGATAATGAACTTTTATAAGGATAATTATTGTTCCTCCATTGACTTAAATTATAAAATTTTTACTACTTTTAAGTATGAACCTTTTTTTTGCTATCGTTATGATAATTTAAGTCACTTTGAATATTAAGTCTTCTCTTATTTTTTAAATTTCCCTCCTCAAATCGAAAAGCCTTTAACACTTCCATCCCGTAACACCCCCCCCCCAATAGTTTTCTCGGAGTATTTGTATCTCGGTCTAGTTATTTAGATCTTCTCTCATTTTTTCTTTATCACTGGGATTTGCTTATTTTGGTGTCAAAAGAGTTTTTTCTTAACAAATTTATGGAAAAACTTAAAAGAGACATCAATTATTTTCTTGAAAAATAAGCTTTTCTAATTTAACAATGTTTTTAATAAATAAATCGTCGCTAAAGCTGATGATTTATTGCAAGTTAATGCAGTATTTTTTTAATCTATTTACATTTTATTACAACAACTTTTAAAAAAATATTCGAATTTTTTGTTCAATTATAGCCAACCTTTTACAAGAGTTTTTTTGGCGGTCGAGATGATATTCGTTTGTACATGGAGAGGGTTATGGTTCCTTGGAAATGAAATCGAGAAGGAAATATATATAATTTTTAGGTTTTCAATCTCGAGTTCCTATTTTGTCTGTATTTGCCATCAACAAAGTGTTATCCACAAAACAACAAAACCAAGGTACATGTTTACAAATAGAATAATGGTCATAGAGTCTTCATGCCAAACTGACAGGAAAAAACAGAAGCATTAGTGTCAAATGTATCGAACATGCATCACAACTTTCATTGAGAAAGCCAATTGTTTAATTGAATTTGTAGTCCACTATACGCAAAATCTTATATACGTTCATGGTATGCATAACCATATTGTCTAAAAGATATATCATGTGAGGTTGCAGGACACATAGACTCGACATTTTATTCTGTTCGTAAGATTTTCATGCAATTATACTTTTTCGGTCAACCCTCCTCGTTGCTGTTTTTTATTTTCTATTTTTTTGATATATTATATAGTATGCTTGCCTTCCAACTCATGATCTTTAGATGAGATCAAGACACCATTTTATTCTCTTTCTCATCCTTAATATATAATATCACAGATTGCTGCATTTATATATACATCTTCAATGATCATAATTTACTATTATGATAAGAAAGCATATATTTGGTGAGAACATGTTACCGTAAAGGAGTTAATTAATTTTGACAGTATAGTTTTAATAGATATAAAAAATATATTGAAATAAATTAATTTAAATATTTATAATTATTTAAGATTAATATGATTACAAGTGTTTTTTTTCTTATTTAAAAACTATATGGTAAAGATTAACCATTTATATATGTAGATGCAGGGATGTAATTGAGTTTTACTAGTGCTTACATGAATAAATTCACGTCTGCTAGCTTATTTAAAAAATGATTAAAACTAATTCTTTTCGTCTCTCTAAATATTTGCTCATATATATAATTTGAAGATGTTAAATAAAACTTAATTTCAGATACATAAAACGTTTACCTTTTCTCAAAAATTATTTTAGGAAGTAGACAAATAATTATTTCAAACACGCACTAATATTTATATTATATATGGTATATTTTAGTTCTTGATACAAGGAGATGACCATTGAGAGAATGAGAGCTAGCATCAACTAAAGTTTTTATATATGCTGATTAATCATCATTATCATTAGAGTAATCTAAGTTTGTTGTAGTTTATATAGAATGAATGACACACTGCAACAATTCCCTCTAGCTGCTTGTTTCAATTTCTTTTTTCCCTGATGTTGTTTGTTATAAGAAGTCAACCTAAGACTACTCGGTTTTATAGACCTAGCTGCACATCATAAAATAAATAAATAAGAATATGGCTAGCTGGAATTTGCATGTAGTTCCCATGCCGACCGGAACGGCAAACCTCACATATAGTTGACACGATTTAGATTTGGAACTAAACACCCAATCATTAGGTCTATAATGAGTGTATAGATCCTCCAATTTAACCTATATATATACCGAAACATTTATTTTCTTTTTTATCCTTTTTATTTCTCTCTCTTGTTTTAATTAATTTTATCACATCATTGTTATATTTAGTTATCACTTTGTTTCTTATTTATTTTTCTTTTTATTTCTCTGGGTTTACGCATTAAAAATACGGTGAAGCTTGTATAGAGAAACATATATGTAGCGTAATGGAAAACATATTCAAAGGGTTTAGATAAAAACAAACCGTTTTGTTTTTTAGAATAATATGAACATGGATATAATAGATAGTCAAGGCAATAATGAATGCAAGAAAGCAAAAAGATGTCTTTCATGGTGGAAGGTGTGTATCCCTCGCTTTATTTTAATTTATTTGTTTCTCCTTTTCCTTTCCTTGTTGCTTTTGTAATTTATAAAGAGTGCATTGACTTTAAGATGTAAAAACAACACATCTTCAACTTGGATATATCTTTATGATCTTGGCCTACTTAGTTGACAGCACTACTCATTCTATTCATACAAAAAGGTTACGAGATATTTGTTTGTTAATTTAACTCAAACATCATATCCTAGGGCTTCCAAAATCACACGTGGACCCTGTCATTCTCACCACTCAATACCTATCTGCATGCCTTCTCTCTTTCGTCACGCTTTCGCTTCATATCCCACAGCTAATGTAGGCCCTTCCCATTTCCATTTTCTCTCCTTTTCTACGGAATATTTGGCTTAAAAGCTCCATCAAACTGTCAAGTGCTGCACTCTCATGGAATGCAACCAAAAGAAAGAAAGAACCCCATTATGTGTAGGCAGCATCTTCCACCAACCACAGTATATATGGATACTAACTCTAATAAGAACAAAATCTTAATCTAATTCTCTGTACTGTCATGTCCAGTTCAAAATCAAAATTCTCCCAAAACAAATTAATTTCACATCTATACAATAAAAAATAATATTAAAAAAAACCCTAGAAGATACATGCATATCCTAAAATAATATCAATAAAAGTTGGTGAGTGATATGCATGCACCATTATAAAATAGTACTAATTGGAAGGATATATAAAAAACTACCCCACTTTAATTAATGGTTTATTGATATTGTTTTCCATGTTCAAACCGGTGGAATAATATTAAATAAAGCATATGCAGTTTAGTTTTATTTATATGACATATAGAAATAGTTAGCTAGCTAGTCGATGATGAAAAATCAAAAGGGCTATTATTTCATGTAGTAATGTTGACGCTCGCATGCATTAGGGTTTGGGTGGCGCAACGTGATGGAGACGTGCATGATGGCCATGAAAAAATTTAGTAATATAAACGCGTGATTAGGTCCCTTCGAAGGAGGAAACGAAGGGGAGTATACAAGTTAAATATATTTTTTATATTAAACTATATGATAGTTTTTTTTTTTCTCTTTCTAGATTGTGCTTTTTCCTATTGTTCGCCGTGCTTCATGGATCCACCATTGCATCATATTATATTGTACGTTATGGTGTTTATATATATTTCTTGGGCTTGGTTCAAACTTTTTTTGTAATTTATTAACAATAGAGGGTGATTAGTGATATATTTATTGCGATAGTATTTGTTATTATGATAGTAGTAGCATTAGCATATGATATCCTATGATATAATAATAGTATTGGGGGCATATATAGAATATAAAACACTGAAGTCTAAGGGATGATGATTATGGCTTGGGAGCAAAGTCTGAATGGGCCCCCATAATGATTAAAGCTAGGGCAGTTTTTAAGATCGTGGGTTGGGTGGGCATTTCCACGATTGCCCGCTGACCCAAATATGCGTGCATGCTTAAGGATTTAGGAATCTCTTGGCTTAAAGGAAAAATTACTTTTCTCAAACATTAAAATGAAACAGGAAAGAAAGAAAGAAAGTGGAGATGTGGATCAATCTTATGCGTAAAGTAGAAGTTACAAAGATCTTATATATGCGTTGGTAAGTAGGCCCAATACGTAAGCCACTGACAAAGCATGACTTCATACTGATTTCATATTCACTACATTTTTAAACAGAAAATATACATGTACATAATAAGTTTTTTGTCATGATAACTTCAATTTTATATTTATTTTATCAAGCTTTTTTCTTTATATTCTTAATGTATAACACTACTGTATCTGTAATTTATTTCAGTGTATCAACCTAAAAAAAAAGTTAGATTAGTAGTGATTAATTAATTTGCAAGAATTTTAGTAGCTGTTTCTGGTCTCTTACGTGTGCATCTGAATTAAATGTAAGATTAAATGATGTGACGATTAGTGGAAGAAATTAATAATATACCAAAAAAGTCAAATATTTGAGTATAATTAATTAATTAATTAATGATGTAACTTATATCTCCTTGTGAAGTCAAGTAATTAAGAAAATTACTTTTAACAGTCGTTTCTCTCTTTTATTTCTCTGACCAATTAATTTGATTACATGAAGATGACTACAAGTACAAACAATATTAATATGACATATGTGTGTGTATATATAGTTTCAACATATTGTAGAGTCTTTACTTGAAAGTGAGCTAAAGCGAGCCGTCGCGTAAAGACCGATATAAATATTAGAATTGAGAGATTATATATGGGAAAAGTAAACATCATGATGGTCTTTAGTATGTCAAAATAATGCACATAAAAAAGGTACAAAAGAATTGGAAAAAAGATGGGAAGAAGGGTAATGAACATTACATTCATCATTTCTTATAATCACGCACTTGATGTAAAGTTATGATCATGAGTTTATATTAACCATGGGCAAGGTCAAGTATTGTATATTTCCGTTGTTTTTGTTCCATATATTATTACTTTTTTATTGTTTCACATCATGCATATTAATTTCTTGTGGTGGTGGATATATCACTGTATAGCCACGTGATGTGTATAATGAGGAATAATAATAATAAATGTGCAATGAATGGATTACTATTGCAGATAGAGATAACATGCAGAGGGCAACAACTTTTACCTTTCTTGACGTTGCAGCATGTGAGGGATAACATTTGGACTCCGAGGGACACCACACGACCTTTGCTTTCAGATTCCTCAACCACAGATCATGTCATGGTGCTCCATTACGGTAGAATAAGCACTTCTTAAAAGGACTTCCCACAAGTTATTATAACCTAAATGTGCCTCACATCATGCATGGTCTTAATTGTACCCTTGTTAACTTATCTAAACCCTTTTCTTTTTTCTTTTTTTGCTTAATTAGTTTTTTTCTCTTCCAATTTTTCTATTCTAATGGGTTTTGATTATTATTTATTTTGTTTTTTTCTTCCCCTTTTATATTTCTTTAATTGACATGGAGATTATGGAGAATCACATGGACTATCCCCTCAAAAGTGTTTATTCCATTAGGGTTTTGGGTGGGTAGCATTACCGAAATTGTACTCCCATGTTGAGAGCGGGGTGGGTGAGGAATTGCCATCAACTGTATTATCAAGCACAAAACTCAATCTAATTTGATCCACTAACCCATTTTCCCCTTTTTTGTTCTCATTTATATGGTTTATTTATTCTCAAGCTAAAAGTATATATACCAATATTATGAGCAATTCATATCAATTATTTATGTGAGTAAGTAATATCAGATTTAAATTATTAGTTAGATATGTGTATGTATTATTGATTATAAGCGTACATTTACTTTCAAAAAAGAAGAAGATTATAAGTGTACATTTCCTTTTATAATTAGCTTACTTTTATATTATAATTAATGTCCTTTTATGGAGGAGATGAATGTAAGTTGTTAGTTTTGTAAAGCTCTGAAGCGAGAACAGTACAATAAATTTGCAAATAATTCATGTGTGTATCGTTGCTTTTAATATTCAAAATATAAATTAAAAAGTTGAGAAAAGATTTATTTCATTAATACACTAAAAAAATTATGTTGTAGTAACACCCTATAGTGAAATAATATTTGTCACTAAAAACTATTTTTACATATGCTAGATAAAATATATGTTAATATATTGTTAAAAATATGTAAGTATAAGTTATTGTAATACATAATATATGTCATTCAATCTCATTAAAAATCATATGTATAACTATATGTCTAAATTTATATTTATGTATATTATATCTATAATAACCCTTTTTATATGTTATCATATGTAACATTTTCTTTTTGTTATTATTAAATATTCTTTTTTACTAATAAAATATTAATTAAAAAGAAAATTTGTTTACATTTAAAATTTATAATAGATATTCCAAAGTCATTTTAATTAATAGAAAAATGCTTTGCAAATACTACCACCATTATATAGGACAAAAATACCTCAATTTTTCTCAATAATTAGTTTATACAAATAATTTATATAGTTAATATGAAAACTTGTAAGACATGTGAGGAATGAGAGTATTTATTGACATTACTTTTGTACCTACACCGAGTACACAATTAATTTTATCGCTTTAAGTTTTCATCTAATAAGTCTTCATTTTCATAGTTTTCATCTTTCATATCTTTATAATCTTTGGTTTTACTTACCTAGAGAGAGTCAACTACAAACATTGTCTGATAAGGGAAAACAAAGTACCTACAAAAGGTGTTTCGAAGCTTAAGTTAATCCTTAATCTCAGACATGTCGATATAATTAATACTATAATAAATGTTAAAAATATTTTTTATATTTTAATATATTACTATTTATATTAATTTTATTAGGCATGCGCCTTGATAATATAGGCACATTGTCTACTTAGTTACCTTTAACAATATTTTTGAATTATTTGTAAACTTATCTAGTACTTATAGAATTTGAAGAGTGTTCAACTTTACCTTTCGGTTAAACCCTTCCAATATAACTTCAATTTCAATAGTGATAAATTAAAAAAAAAATGAAAAAAACATATATAACAAGTAGAAAACTTAATTAATTATTCATTACTATGTAAAGATTTTTTTATATATCATCTTTCAATCAAATTTTATTATGTATAATAAATTTATTAACAAAGTCTATTTAAAAATCATATATTTTATGATTTGTTATTGATTGATGATGTAAAAAAATTCTACATTGTCAATGCATGGTCATTAATTAATTATTAACTTGTAATAAAATTTAATTAGGTTAAATTTTCATATTTTTGAAATTTTAAGTCTAACTTACTTGTTTAACATAGATATTTTTTCTTTCATCTCATTTCATCTCTTTGAAAATATAGTCTATGCTTTTAAATAGGTTGAAGAACTTAATGTTCAAATAGACTGAGACTCAAAAAAGCTTATCAGCATACAGGTCAATAAGCTTTTAACTTTAAATAAACTAATAAACATGTAATTTTAAAATATTATGGTAAAAATACAGTATAATAATAATAATAAAGGTTTTTTTTCAATTATTAATCATTTAAGTCAACAAATACGTTTGATATAAATTTTTTTAAATGATATTTTTAACTATTCATAGAGGATGTGTAATTTTTTTTAATCATAATTTAACTACGTTAAAAGTAATGATTAATTTTTGTTAAAAATTATGAATGCATATAAAATAAGTATTTTATTCTTATCATAATATATTTTATATACAAAATTATAATTCAAATCCTAAATAATTTAATTAAAAAATGTAAGTGTACTACTTGTATCTAATAATCGGAGGATGCATAGGTTAATACCTATAAGTGCAACATAAAATTTGTTTTTCCTAGTCGGGTAAGACGTCTCTCTTGTTTCAACATTTAACTTTCTTTCTTTTGAATTTGCTTGGGCCAACATCCCACTTTCTTTAACAACCTATATGATATGGACTGATCCACTTTGTTCTGATTTGAGAGTCCAGTTATCTGGACAACTCTTGAATGGAACTCTCCAAAAATTTATCAAGCCCAATAAACAACTGTTGCCTCAACATCTGAATCATCAAACTTTTTTTTTTTTTAATCATGGATTCAATCATTTTGTTTAGGATCATTAATAGGTAAGTTAGTTATGTATAGCTCGTGTTTCAATTATTTTAAATTTTAACATAAATCTGTAAACACATTTCCCTTACACTTAGTTAAATTAAAAATATTAAATTCAATATGGTTAGAAACAAACTGAACTAGTTACAAACTATTAAAAAAAAAATAAGACACTTGATTTTTATCTTAATTTTCTTTTATATAGCAACGAGATTCGAACATGAAGTCTTATACAAGTTATTCAAATCCTCCCATATTAGGTCACCTTGCACTATTAAAAAAATTGAAGTTAAATACACCCTATAATGAAATAATATTTGTCATAAAAAATTAATTTTATTTATAATTACATTATCATAATTATTAAAAAGTGTTGATATAAATTATAGTGTGATACATAATATATTGTTGAATCTCATTTAAAATTAACACTAAAATTATGTATAAGTATATGTCAAATATATTCATACATACATATATTTTTAATAATAATAATTTTTATATATCATTATATAGAGTTAATCACCTATACACTGTCAGTATATAATTGATGACCAGTGTAAAAAAACTTTACACTGATAATGTATAGATGATTAACTACATTATATATAATATTTCTTATAGTGTTAGTACTTGTTTGGATTATCATTTAAAACGATGTAAACAAAAATTCTCTCATTCCAAAGCAGAAAAATGAAAAGTAATAATTTATTACTAATTTGTTACTTTTACATTCAACGGCTGCTTAAGGATTTTTGACGATAAATCAAACACACTGTTAATAGGTTTAATTCACTCGTTACATACAAAACTTTTTTTAGGAAACCTATTGGACATTAAAACCAACAAAACCGGTTATTTGAAGAACAAATCTTAGATAAGAAATTTTATTAGAATTAGAGTTTTATCTTGAATCATTTATCATATATTACAAAAATAAAACTGCAATTCTAATACGAGAACAGTAACAACAATATATGATACTTCATGCCGTTTAATCTTATTTTAAAAGACATGGCATGAAAGTTATATGAAAATAAAATATGTAGGGAA